AAGTCAGTTTTGCAGAAATGAAACAGTTAAAACCAGCTCTTCTTTTGACTGGGGTTTGCATTGTCTGTCCTTTTCCATCCTTTTACTTTCAGTCTTTCCATGACGTTATGCTTCAGGTGTGACTCTCATAAATAGCATACAGAGTTAGTTTTGGCTTTTTATCCGTTCTGACCATCTGTGTCCTTTGAATGAATCATTTATTTCATTTACTCTTAACACAGCTACTGTATGTTGTTTACAAATGACCATCTCCTTCATGCTTTCTATCTGTCTCTTCTCTATTTCTTTTTCTTCTCTTTCTACCCTTTTTGATTGATTGCTGTGGGTGAAAAGCAAAATTCTACTCCTTCTGTTTGATAACCTCAGTTAAATTTCTAGCTCTGTGCCCCTGCTAAACCTAGCACGATGTATATCAACTATATTACTAGGCAACATCACTTAAGGTAAAAATTACCCCTATTGATAAATTGCAGCTGTCCTGGGAGAATGAGAATGTCAGACTTTTGGCTTCCTGAGTGTGGTGACTCATGTATTAGGCATGTCCCTTTCAAGGACCCTGGAAGCTGTATCTTTCAAGTTGCTATAAGAGATACTGAATCCTATGGGGCGTGAGGCTTTTAAACCCGAGGGCACTTCCTACATCTGATACGGATCTCAGCTCACTGTGCCTAAGCTGTCAGCTGACTGCTGTGTGGGCTGCCCCGTGAGCTTGACGCTGCCTGCCGGCAAGCCTTCTTGTAGACCCTGCCAAGTGCGGGCTATAAATCTTTTGAGTCAGAATGTTTAGTTAGACCTAGGAGGCATCCTTTCCTTGTACCACCCCTCAACCACTAGTATCACAATGACATTTTATTACTACATTTATATACTTTATTATTTTGGAAGATTTACACCATAATACTTTTTTGGTGGTTACTCAAATTATTACAGTGTCATTGATTATAAAAATCTAATATTATTTGGTGCTTTTACCTTCTTCCAGGACAATGCAAGGTCCATAAAACATCTTAATTCCATTTGTCTTCCTCCCAACTTATTATGTGTTGTTTTAGTCATATACTGACAAATATTTATTTCATTTAGGTATATATGTAAATATATACAATATGTACATATATTATTTTAAGTCAATAAAATGATGACATCACCATCACTACTGCTAAGTACTGTTAATATCTGTTTAGATTTCCTCATTTATCCCTTCTTTTTTTTAACCTTCATCTTGGGCCATTTTTCTTCTGTTTTAATTTTATCCTGTTGTGTATGAGGCCTGATGTTGGCAAATTCTCTGTTTTTGTTTACCTGGAAAAGTTTGTGTTTTCCTTCTTGAAGAATAGTTTTGCTAGGGTGTAAAATTCTGCATTGGCAGCCATTCAGTATTTCAAGCATAATATTCATTTGTCTTCCATATTCCATAGTTTCTTTTGAGACGTCAGCTATCAGTCTGTTTGTTGCTCCTTTAGGTAATAAGTCTTTTTTCTCCTTGCTGCTCTTCTTTGGTTTTCAGAAGTTTTACTGATGTACCTAGGTGTAGACTTTTTTTTAATCTTGCTTGCAGTTTGTAGCATTTTTTCACTTTGTTACAGCTTGATGGATTTTCATCAGTTTTGCAAAGTCCTTGACTATTAGCTCTTCAAATATTGCTTCTGTCCCTTTTGTTTCCTCTCCTTAGGACTCCAGTTAATTAAAGCATCTCACTGTATGTCTTCTATGGCTCTTAACCTCTTGTCTTTATTTTCTGTCTTTTTGTCTCTCCATGATCCATTCTGGGAAAATTCTTCTCACTTTCCTTCTAGTTTACTGTTTTTTTCTTGAACTATTTCCAATCTACTCTTCTACTGGTCCACTGAGTTCTTAATTTCTTACTATTGTATCTTTAAGTCCTGGGTCTTCTATTTGGTTTGGTTCTTTTTTATAGATCTGTTTCTTTAAAACATTCTTAATATTGCCTTTTGTCATCTTGAACATGCTAAATATAGTTGTTTTAATATTTCTATCTGCTAATCCCAACATCTGGACCCCTGCAGATCTTTTTATTTTGTATATTGTTTTGCTATTTCTAATTCATGTTATCTTGGCTTCTTGTATATCTGATTAACTTTTATCTTGTCCCAAACATTATATTTGCAAAACTATTTATAGAAGTAATTGGAGGCCCATTTTTTTATATAATCTTTGTCTAGATTTCTTTTGCTCCATTTAAGCATCTAAAAGCACTGATATTCCAAAGAAACTATTCCAGTTTGAAGGACTGAAATGATTCAAAGCTGAATCGAGCACTTATATGTGCCAGAGCTGTGCCTAATATTTTATATTCTTCATTGCAGTGCATCTTTATCATAGCTTCTGATTCTTTCTATTAAATCACTCCTGTTACTTTTAACCATGTTTCTGTAAATACACAAAAACTTGATGCTTACTTGATGTTTGCTTACATGCTAGTTTTATTCCACTTCTACGCTTCCTGATGAATCCTAAAATATAATAATACAAAAATGTAGCTGAATGCCTGAGAACTTCCAAGCTTAAATTGAAGGGAAAGGAAGAATTTTTCACAAGTCTGTGCCTGAGAAATAAAGAGTCACAAAGCTTAATTTGACACAGTTAACACTAATTACTAATAACTGAAATTGAAGAAAGTGGAGAAAACCACTAGGCCATTCAGGTATGACCTAAATCAAATCCCTTATGACTATACAGTGGAAGTGAGAAATAGATTTAAGGGACTAGATCTGATAGAGTGTCTGACGAACTATGGATGGAGATTTGTGACATTGTACAGGAGACAGGAATCAAGACCATCTCCAAGAAAAAGAAATGCAAAAAGCAAAATGACTGTCTGAGGAGGCCTTACAAATAGCTATGAAAAGAAGGGAATCGAAAAGCAAAGGAGAAAAGGAAAGATATACCTATTTGAATGCAGAGTTCCAAAGAATAGCAAGGAGAGATAAGAAAGCCTTCTTCAGTGATCAATGCAAAGAAACAGAGGATTACATCGAGGCTGTATATTGTCACCCTGCTTGTTTAACTTATATGCAGAGTACATTATGTGAAACGCTGGGCTGGAGGAAGCTCAAGCTGGAATCAAGATTGCTGGAGAAATACCAATAACCTCAGATATGCAGATGACACCACCCTTATGGCAGAAAGCAAAGAAGTAAAGAGCCTCTTGATGGAAGTGAAAGAGGAGAGTGAAAAGGTTGGCTTAAAGCTCAACATTCAGAAAACTAAGATCATGGCATTCGGTCCCATCACTTTATGGCAAAATAGATGGGGAAACAGTGGAAACATTGGCTGACTTTATTTTTCTGGGCTCCAAAATCACTGCAGATGGTGATTGCAGCCATGAAATTAAAAGACACTTACTCCTTGGAAGGAAAGTCATGACCAACCTAGACAGCATATTAAAAAGCAGAAACATTACTTTGCCAACAAAAGATCCGTCTACTCAAGGCTTTGGTTTTTCCAGTGGTCATGTATGGATGTGAGAGTTGGACTGTGAAGAAAGCTGAGCACCGAAAAATTGATGCTTTTGAACTGTGGTGTTGGAGAAGACTCTTTTTTTTTTTTTTCATTTATTTTTATTAGTTGGAGGCTAATTACTTTACATCATTGCAGTGGTTTTTGTCATACATTGAAATGAATTAGCCATGGATTTACATGTATTCCCCATCCCGGTCCCCCCTCCCACCTCCCTCTCCACCCGATCCCTCTGGGTCTTCCCAGTGCACCAGGCCCGAGCACTTGTCTCATGCACCCAACCTGGGCTGGTGATCTGTTTCACCCTAGATAATATACGTGTTTCGATGCTGTTCTCTTGAAACATCCCACCCTCGCCTTCTCCCAGAGTCCACAAGTCTGTTCTATACATCGGAGTCTCTTTTTCTGTTTTGCATATAGGGTTATCGTTACCATCTTTCTAAATTCCATATATATGTGTTAGTATACTGTAATGGTCTTTATCTTTCTGGCTTACTTCGCTCTGTATAATGGGCTCCAGTTTCATCCATCTCATTAGAACTGATTCAAATGAATTCTTTTTAATGGCTGAGTAATATTCCATGGTGTATATGTACCTGGAGAAGACTCTTGAGAGTCCCTTGGACTGCAAGGAGATCCAACCAGTCCATCCTAAAGGAGATCAGTCCTGGGTGTTCATTGGAAGGACTGATGCTGAAGCTGAAACTCCAATACTTTGGCCACCTGATGTGAAGAGCTGACTCATTTGAAAAGACCCTGATGCTGGGAAAGATTGAGGGCAGGAGGAGAAGGGGACGAGAAAGAATGAGATGGTTGGATGGCATCACCGATTCGATGGACATGGGTTTAGGTGGACTCCGGGAGTTGGTGATAGAGGCCTGGCGTGCTGTGCTTCATGGGGTCACAAAGAGTCGGACATGACTGAGCGACTGAACTGAACTGCACACTAATTACATGTTAGTTATAGTATCTTTTTTAAACAATTTATTTTTGATTGGAGGATAATTGTTTTACAGTACTGTGTTGGTTTCTGCCATACGTCAGCATGAATCAGCCGTGGGTATACTATGTCCCCTCCCTCTTGAACCTCCCTCTCACCTCCCTCCCCATCCCACCCCTCTAGGTTCTCACAGAGCACCAGGTTTGGGCTCCCTGCATCATGCAGCAAATTCCCACTGGCTATCTATTTTACATATGGTAATGTGTATGTTTCCATGCTACTCTCTCAGTTCATCCCACCCTCTCCTTCCCCTACTGTGTCCTTAAGTCTGTTCTCTATGTCTGTGTCTCCACTGCTGCCCTGCAAAGAGTTTCATCAGTACCATCTTTCTAGATTCCATATCTACACATTAATATATGATATTTGCTTTTCTCTTTCTGACTTACTTCACTCTGTATAATAGGCTCTGGGTTCATCCACCTCATTAGAACTCGCTCAAATGTGTTCCTTTTCGTGTTAGTGTCTTTAGTCAAAGATTATTTTCCAGTGAAGCTTACCATTTGCCGGTTTATTTCTATAGGAACCATATTACGTACGTTGCATCAAACCCAACGACATGAAATCCCCACAGATCTTTGATGATGAACGCTGCCGGCATCAAGTAGAATATCTTGGACTCCTAGAAAACGTGAGGGTGCGTCGGGCAGGCTTTGCCTTCCGCCAGACCTACGAGAAGTTTCTTCACAGGTGAGAAGAGATGAAACAAAGAAACCCAAGAGCTCAGCGAGACTTAGGGAGTCTCCCTGTGTTAAACAGCGCATCAGCTCTTACCAGGCGGTCTCAATATTTGTTGAATGAACAGAAGAGTTGAGGAAACTACAAATACGAAAGACTTTCCTAGAATCGGCAAGAGACCCCTTGAGTTTGTGGTTTATGGACCATTGGGAAAAAATGAATTCTTCATGGGGAAAATATAAGCATGTAGTATAGGAGGAAGAAACAAGGATTCAGAGTCACAGCTGGGTTGGAATCCTGGCTATGCCACATGTTTGTTGCGTGACCTGGAGTTAGAAATTTAACTTCTTTGTTTCTGCATTTGCAAAATGAGTATAGTAACACTACCTTATAAGGCTTTTGCTGTGAGGATTAAATTAACCAAAGTGAAAAGGCTAGGTGCCTGGCACGTAGTAGATGTTCAGTTAATGCTGCTTATCATTTCTGATATTAGTAACTATAATAATAGAAAGACACTAAGTAGATCATCACAGAGGCCCTAAAATTAGTCTATCTGATTGAATCCTGGCTTTGACCAAGATTTTTGACCTTGGGAAAAATCATATAAATTTCCAGTTGCCTCTGTTTCCTATGTGTAGAATGGAGAAAATTAATTTTTTAAATGGGAATTATAATAGTAAGTACTTGGTAAGACTGCTGGGGGTGAAATGAGATAATGTATATAAAATAAAGCACCTCGAATGGGAACCTGGCTTATAATAATCACTCATTGTAAGGTGTCATTGCTATTGTTATTTATTATTGGTAACAATAATGCTAGTTGACACCTGGGATCTTAAAAATAGTGCTTTAAATCCCAGCTTTTCATTTATTTTAAAATATTTATTCAACATTCCCTATGTTGTAGGCTACAGATTTCACAAAAATATGAATGAATAAATAAACACATAAAATATTGGTTGCTGAGGAGTCTCTTAGTAGATAATAATGAATGTAAGGAGTCAGCCATACAAAGGTCAAAGAAAAAGAGCAGGTGAAGCTGAGGAAACAGTGGAGAAAAGTCTCTCTTACAGAAATAAGTGTTGCATTTTAGGTACCAAACATCATCCAGTATGGTTGGAGGATGCTGAGCAACAGGGCAGTGGTGTGGGTTGAGATCAGAGAGATGGACGGGGGCCAGATCATGTTGCATGTTGTCATCCAGACTAAACAGTTTAGATTTTGGCCAAGGGTGGTAGAAAACCATTGGTGGATTTTATGCAGGGAACCACACAATCTGATGGATGTTTTAAGAGATCACTGTGGCTGCTCTGTGAATAGGAAGGAAGGAGACATTTAGAGATGCTATTTCAGGAACCCAGGAGAGGCAGCTCAATGAGAGTGCCTTGAACAAGGAATCGTTGTAGATCCAAGAGTAGTGGACTGATTCAGGGTAGGTTTGGGGGGAAAGTGGACAAGACTTGCTGATGGATTGACTCAATGAGAGAGTAGAGAGGGATGAAGGGTAACATGTAGATTTTGGCTTGAGCATCTGGATAAGCATAGTACCATTTTCTGAGATAAGAAAGACTGGGGAGGAGAAGTTTGAAGAAGAGGACATGGAGCTAGGGCAAAGATGGAATCAAGATTTGTCTCTTGACTATGTTAGGTTTGAAATGGCTTCTAAATGCCTAGGTAGAAATACTAAATAATCTACTAGACATATAAATCTGGAGTTCTGTGAAGACTTCTAGGCTGGAAATAGAAAGTTTGGAGTTACTGATATATAGATTATATATAAAGTCTTGGGACTTGATAGAAAAGAAGAGAAGGCCCATGTCAACATTTAGGCTTGTGGTCTGACATGAAAGAACCTGCAAAGGGAAGAGAAGTGACCTATGAGAGAGAAGAAATATCAGAAGAGGGTTAAGTCACAGAAGCCAAGAGAAGATGGCATTTCAAGAAGAAGTACAATTATATTAAATATTACTATGCCATCAAGTAAGAGAAGAGCAGAAGCTTAACCATTAGACCAGGCAGCCCAGAAGTCAGAGGAGAAAGAGCTAGTCGGAGCCCCATTTGAGCAGGATGGGAAAGTGAAGTGAGTAGCTGGATGTCCACAAACAGCTCAAGGATGTGTGTTGTGAATGAGAACAGAGAAAAATGGAAGCAGCAGCCAGAGTGGAATGTGAAGTCAAGGAGACTCTAGAAAATGTTCAAAATGCAGGTGGCAATGATTCAGAACAGAGAGAGAAACCAGCCACGCAGAAGGAAGGGAGATAACTGAAATAATAACCTCCTTGAGAAGACAAGGAGTGAAATCCCAGCACAGGTGGAAGGTTGGTCAGCTTTAGATGGGAGCAGGGATCCTTCTCCCCTAGCAACAGGGCTAAAGGCAGAGAGAGAATATGAATACCAAGGCAGGAAGCCTCGAAAGCCGACTGATGGCACAAATGAAAATGTTCCTGTCTGATTGCTTCTATTTCTTCTTCTTTTTTTTTTTTTTTTCCTATTTCTTCTTAAAGTATGAGGCAAGGTCGTGAGCCTGAGAGTGAGGATCAAGAGAGGTGGTGTAGGAGGCTGACAAGTAAACAGAAATACTCACTTTAGAGAGTGGAGAGCTTTCCCACTCTCTCCCAGTAGCTTTGCTATCAGGAAGACCTGAGCACCCATTTGAGGTTTGAGGTTGTAAGTGTGTAGTGAGGACCCCCGCCCCCAGCATCAGCTGTTGTTCTCCACCAGTGTTCGGCTACTCGCATGCAGAAGTGAAAGGGATTCATGCTAATTGGAGACTCTTGGAAAGCATAAAACTTTATAGCAGAATAGCCTAGAAAAATGAGAAATTTTCTATTGATCAGAAAGTCATGCTCAAAACTGATCATTATTGAGATCATGCTGTTCTTTAAATTTGGTTTTTCTTTTTTATTAAAGCTGTAGAGTAGAATGTGTTCATTCTGAGTCTCGATTTCAGTTGATGTTAATAGGAAGATTGCTCATCCCTTATCATTACTTAGAATTCTAGCAAGTACTCAATGGTAGTATTTGTTTTTGTGTTGTCACCTATGTAAGATCAGCAGAAGTCAAGTATTAGAAAGACAGGGTGGGAATGGGCAGCTTTAGGATGGGGCGGAACTGGAAGAATTATCTAAAATAAGTAATTTATTTATATTTATGTATAATTTAATGATTTGTGTATATTAATCTAACTAAAAAAATATCATGAGACAAAGAGGAAGCCATGGAGAGTAGTTGAAGTAAGAGAATAAGCAAGCTTGATTTGGAGGGGACAGTTCTGCAAGTGCATATCCTTACTCACTTTTAGTCTGTTTTTGTACTTATTTCACTTTCAACTCAAGATGCTTGGTGTGTTTTTTTGGCATAGAAGACATGCTACAAGGATTGGATTATGTTTTCTAGTACTCATGTAAAAATAGAAAAGGTTAAAAAGAACCTATGAATTTCAAATATGATAGTCTTAGGAGTACAATCTTAAATCTCCCATTCCCACTCCAGAACATCCCCCAGTGATATAAAATATATGTCTTTAAAGCCAAGTAAATGCAGAGCCACACTATGGAATCAAAAGAGGGATGCTCAGTGAGCCTTGAAGAGGTGAATCACTCCTAAATACAATATGAGGCAGACATGTAGACCCAGAAGTATGCTGAGGTCACAGTTTTTAGGAAAGACTGCTTTGTGAGGCTTCAGCTGGCGTTCAGGAGACAACTCAGCTACAGTCTGGAGTTTCCCAGCTGCAGCACTGAGAGGCTGCCGTAATGGCCAGGACAAATAACCACCTGAGCAACTGCAAGGGAGACATCATAGGTATACTGGCCAAGATTCTGGAAGCAAAAGTAGCCACCTTACAAGAGGCCAGCAAAGGCCAAGACGTACATGTAGGAAGAAGGATTCTAGGGTAGGAGATGAGATAACAGTCAAACATCTGAGAAAGACCAGACCAATGAGAAAGAACCAATAAGCTCAACAAATGAAAAACCTCACCCCCAAGGAACTAGAGCAAGGAGTAGAATACCCTGGAAAAAGCCTATTCATATTCTCAGAGAGATAAAGGAGAGAATTTTGGTCCTAAAGTAGGAATATGAAGTTCAAAACAAGAACAGGTTGTTGTTAAAAAGAACCAATTAGGGATTTGGAAAATGAAAACCAAATTAAGCACAATCAGAGTGAATTGTCCATCAACAGAATGAGTCAGCAGTTTATAGTGTCATCATACAATGGTTACAAGTCAGCATTAAAGAGAATGAACAGTGGCTTCCCTGGTGGTCCAGTGGTTAAGACTCCACTCTTCCAATGCCGGGGGCGTGGGTTCAATCCCTGGTCAGGGAACTAAGATCTCACATGCCATGCAGTGTGGGGAAAAAAAAAAAGAGGTAATGAACAGCTGATACTACAACAGCATGGATGAATAAAACATTATGTGAAAAAGAATCACCAGAGAGTACACACTTTATGCTGCCATTTATATGAAGCTCATGAACAGATAAAAATCAGGGCAGTGCTTTGCTCTCGGTTGAGAGTTGGCTGGAAAGGGGGAAAGGTAATGGGGGAGCTCTTTGTGATTATGTAGATGATCTTCATCTTGATTGACGTGTCAGTTTCATGAGTGTAAACATTTTTCAAAACTTACTGAATTGTGTTTTTAAATGTGTGCATTTTACTATACATAAAATTTACCAAAATTAAAAAAAATTTTTTTTCAAACTAAACTTCTTTTAAATGAGTTAGTAAGCTATAAAATCAAGCTGAAGACTTCTCCCAGACCTCATCACAGAGAAAAAGAGATGGAACGTTCTAAAGAAAGGTCACACCAAGTGTAAATTTGATCCAGAAGGGCCAAAAGCCATGTAGCAGGAGCACCAGAAGGAAAGGAGAGTTCAGGGGTCAGACTGAAAGAATACATCGAGTGTAAAACACACGAATGTTTTAAATGAACTTACGTTATGTTCACTTTCAGAACTCTAGGCATAATGAAAAATGCTTAGAGTTCCCAAGAAGAAAGGCAAACTACCTACGAGGAAATGAGACTCATACTGTCATCAGACTTCTCATTAGCAACATTCAGTATAAACAGACAAAGGAGCAGTATCTTCACTGTGAAGGGGAATGAAGTTTACACTTAGAATTTTATTCCATGCCAAGTTATCATTCAAAAATGTGGGTAGGGAACTTCCCTGGTGGTCCAGTGGTAAACAGTCTGCCTGCCAATGCAAGGGACACAGTTTCCATCCCAGGTTCGGGAAGATTTCATATGCCGTGAGGCAGCTAAGCCTGTGCACCCCAACAAGAGAAGCTACCACAGTGAGAAGTCCGAGCACTGCAACTAGAGAGTAGACCCCACTCACTGCCACTGGAGAAATCCCACATGCAACAGTGAAGACCCAGCACAGACAAAAAAAAGTGTGGGCAAAATAAAAACAAAATAAATTTCCTGACATATATAAGTCCAGAAAGTTTACTATCCCTAGACTTCTCTGAAAAATCTTCGAAAGGGTGTACTTTAGCAAAAAGGAATATAAATGCAGAAGGGAAATGTGGACTGCAAAAAAGCAGCATTGAACAAATAAGTCAGTAAAACTTCTTGTGAGATCTATGCAAGTGGTTTCCATTATAATGGGGGTGGGGGGGCCAGAAGGATATCGGTAGCAATCATTTGCAACAAAAATTAAAATGGAAATATAGAGAAGTAAAGACTTGTACTGTTTATGGGAAGGATAGAAATGTTAATTAACAAGACAGGGAAAATTATCTATTTTCCTATAAATATAATATTTACATATACTGATTGAACTAATTAACAGTGTTGTATGGGGTAGGATGGAAAGTGTGGAGGAGCGTTTTCAGTCTTGATGGGAGAATAAGTAACATTTCCACAGTGAGTTTGTGTTTTTGGATTCTGCAGATTTTTTTTGTAAGCTAGCTTTGAGCCTAGACTTCTACTTGTCACTTTCATCCTTTTATCAAAAGAGAGAGAGAAGGATTTTAAAGGTGCTGATAACCTTAAAAGCTGCTAAAGGCTTCCAGGGAGGTTAAAAACTAGTTGTCAGAAAGCAGATGAGTTCAGCTTTTTAATTTGCCAGTTCAGGATGCTGGTTTGCTGGAGAGGTGGGGTTGTGCCCCTAACCGTGGGGAAGAGAGGAAGTGCACCATTACCCTGACGTGTTAGCTGAGGAGGGTGGCAGTACCATTTCTTCTAGCTCCTGCAGAATGCCGGAAACTTGCAACACACGCCATTACTGCCTGTTGACTCTTATTCTAGTTTCCTAATAAATTTGGAAATTTTTGAATTTTATTTCCTTTTTTCATGTGATATTGCAAAACGTTACCTCTCTCTTTGTATCAGAACTCTTCAGTTCCTGTTTCTGTCTTTATCTGGCATGTGACCAGACTTTAAATATATTTTCTTCCATTCTTTTATTCAACAGATATCTCTCTCCTCACTGTATGGCAGACAACGTGATAGGGATGTGGCATATAGTGAGGAACAAAACAAAATCTCTGCCTTTGTGGTACCTATAGACGGACATTCAACAGACAGATGCACAAATCAATATGATTACAAGCTGAGATGAATGGTATGAGGAAAAGAAAGGCAACTGGTTATTTTAGGAATAATGGGGATGATGGTTGATGAAGGAAAATCAAAAAAGACTAGAAGATAAGTCTCCACCTTTCAAAGAGTAGCTTTTTTAAAAAAAAAGCATTCCAGGGGACTTCCCTGGTGGCCCAATGGCTAAGACTATACATTCCCAATGCAGGGGGCCCAGGTTCAATCCCTGGTTAGGGAACTAGATCCCATATGGTGCAGCAGAGTTCGCATGTCACAACTAATGATTTCAAATGCTGCAACTAAAATGGAAGATCCTGCATGTCCCAACTAAGACCTCACACAGCCAAACAGATAAATACATTTTTTTTTAATCAGGATTTAAATTAAAAAAAAAAAAAAGTATTCCAGGCAGTGGGAACAGCGCATACAAAGCCTCAAAGCAATAAAGAGGCAACCACAATACCGAGACCCTGAAGAAGGCCAAGCTGATTGGAGCAGAGCAAGGGAAGCAGGAGAGCAGTAAAAGATAAAAATGTTGTGAGGCTTTTGGGAATACTGCTCTGACTGCTGAATATGCAGAATGGATTGAAGAGGAAATGGAAACCAGCTTAGGAATCTGTTGTAGTAAACTTGATGGTGGCTTCTCTTAGGATTGTGGCAGTGAAGATGAGAGTAGTTGAACTTTAAATATATTTTGGAGGTGGAATCAATAGACTTGATGGTGAATGAGAAGGAATGATAGAGAAGAGCAGGAATCACATGATTCCCAGGATTCTGGCTTTGGTAACCAACGACTTTGCGGTTGGAAGGACTGAAAAGAAGAATTTTAAATGCCTTAAGGTCTGTGTAGGCACTGGATATGTGAGTGTGAAATTCAGAATTGAGAGCTGGGCTTGGGATAATAATCGCTTGAGTTGAAAAATGAAGTGGACGGACTAGATGAGGTGAGGTGGGAGGTTGTACATAGAGAGAAGAGGGCTTGATATGAGCCCCGGGGCACTCCAACCTTTCGAGGTCCAGTAGTGAAGAACAGTAGCCAGAAAATGAGATTGAGAAGAAATATCCAGAGACAGAAGGAATCCAGGAAGAGCATGCTGACCCAGAAGTTGAGATAGAAACTAGGAAAAGAGAGAAATATCAAGAAGGAGGTATCAGATGCCCCTTAAATATATATTATCTTAACCAGAAATGGGTAAATTCCTAAGAGGAAAATATGAAGATTCCTGGAAGGTGCAAAAGTAGACTTAAACCAATCCCTGGTTCTTGGATGGGACAACTGGACATCATAGCCAAATTTAATGCATGGGAACCCAAAAAAATACCTGCAAGGATTTGTTTTGTGATTGTTTTTCCCTATGCAAATTGATTCTAAAATTCATATAGAAAAGTAAACATCTAAGAGTATCTAGAAAGACCTTTAAAAGGAAAAGAGAGAGAAAAGACCACTGGATATTAAAATATAACCTCTATAATTAAAACCATGTAGTACCGATCGGCAGAGAGAGCAGTGAAACAGACCAAAAAGCCTAGAAATGAATTAAAGTACATATGAAAATTTAGCATATGATAAAATGGCATATTAACTCAGAGGGAGAAAGACTGACTTTTTAGTAAATAATATTGGAAGTAGCCTTTTTTCCGAAGTAAAGTTGGATCCATTCCTTATACCAAATAAATTCCAAATGAATCAGAGCTCCGAATGTAAAAAATGGAAACATACAAATCCTAGAAGAACCCGTAAGTGAATTACCCTGTAACCTGAGTGTGAGGAGAACCTTTCTCACTAAGATGTAGAATTCAGATGTAATGTGTGAAAAACGTACTAAATTTGACTCCATGTAAACAACTTTGCACCAGGGATAGGGGAAAGCACTGTGGTAGGCAGCCTTCCAAGCTGGTCCCAATGATCCCCGCTTCCTGGTATTCGTGCCCCGCATACTCCTTTTCCCAGGAGAGTGGGCTGACCCTCGTGAACTGCTTCTAGCCAAATGGAATATGGCAAAAGTGATGGAGTGTTGCTTGTGAGATTAGCTTACACGGGGCTGAGGCTTTGACTTCTGTCTTGCTCACTCTCACCGTCACCAAGAAGTTGGTGTGAGGTAAACTAACCTATGAGAGGCCCACATATGGAGGAACTGGTGGCTACTGGTCTGCAGCATTGCAAATGATTTTTTTTCCCCATTTATTTTTATTAGTTGGAGGCTAATTACTTTACAGTATTGTAGTGGTTTTTGTCATACATTGACATGAATCAGCCATGGATTGCAAATGATTTTTGTGTATTGACTGTATGTGTAAAACACAACTTAATTTTTTTTTTTTTTTTTTTACTGATGATAGTTTTTCTGAAGATCTGGTTGATTTCCTTTGAAATGAGTCATGTTGTTCTTAAGTAATATTTTCAAAAACCCATGATAGAGGCATCCTTGTCTTCTTTCTGTTTGCAAAGAGAATGCTTCCAAGGTTGCCATGTTACAGATAATATTTGCTGCAAGTTTTGGACAAATAGCTTTTATTAAACTAAGGAATACCCTTCTAACCCTGGTTTAGTAAGTTATTACCCTAAAGGAGTATTGTATTTTATTGAAGCCTTTTTCTCTGTCTCTTGTGAGGCTAATGAAATTCATCTCTATTCTGAGTTTGCTAAGAAGTTTTTTTTTTTCCTTTCTGTGAAGCATGAATTTTATTGAATAGCTTTTCTGCATCTATTGATACCACATGGTTTTTCTCCCTTAATCCATGTCCTGATTTGTTTGTTTGTCTTCCCCATCAAGGTACAAAATGATCTCTGAATTCACCTGGCCCAACCATGACCTCCCCTCAGACAAAGAAGCTGTCAAGAAACTGGTCGAATATTGTGGCTTTCAGGACGATGTGGCTTTTGGGAAGACCAAAATTTTCATTCGAACACCCCGAACATTGTTTACCTTGGAAGAGCTCCGTGCTCAGATGCTTGTCAGGATTGTCCTCTTTCTACAAAAGGTAATCTTACATCTTCTATATGAGATAAGGCTTTGATTTTATGTTCTTACAATTGAGTTGAATGCTTTCTTTGATTCAGGAAATGTTCACAGTGATGTATTTTTTTGCATCTATGCATAGCTTAGAGTATTTTCTATTGCCTTTGCACATGGAAAACTTACCTGTGTGAGTTCACTTTTTTAAAATATCTTTTTACACTTATTTTTAATTGAAAGATAATTGCTTTACAGTGTTGTCTTGGCTTCTCTAGTACACAACAACAAGAATCGATTTTATCCTCCAAACGCCAAAGATATTTTGTCTTCTGATATTCAGAATCAGAGAGATGTCTGAAGTAGTCTGATTTTTGTCTCGTGGCTAATTGAATCATTACCCTCATCTTAACTGCATAGAGGACTTTTTTCTGTCTTGTCATTCAAAAGCTTGACCAACTCGTTTGAAACCGGCGGTCTCACCCAATACGACCCACCAACAGCCCTTGACTGAAGTGTGTAGTGCTGACTTAGCCCTGCTCCTAAATCATGGTACCTGTCATCATTGATCTGTGCAGGGTCCCTTTTCATTTCATTCATTCACTCAGACATTTCTTCTTATCCCCCTTACCCATTTCCATACCTTCTATATGAAACGTTTTGATGTAAAAACTGATGCATGCATGCAAAAAGAAATCATGTCCCTCTGTGAGAATGGAGTATCCATCAAGGGAAGGGTGGCTGGCTGACCTGGCTGCTCCTCTCCAGGATGCCTGCCGGTTTGCACATCACCAGTTTGTATGTAGAGGTTACTAAGTGCCCACATCGTTTTCAGTATCATCCAGGTGCCTAAATTTTGCCAGACTAATAAGTATAATGCGATCACACTGTTTTATTCTATTTCCTCTTTCTCTGATTACCATTAACCTTGAGCATCTAATTAAATGCTTGTTTGCTTTCGGGGGTTACCTGTAAACTGCCCTTTCATAACTTTCATCCACTTTTCTTCTGGAGTTAGTATCGTTGTTTGTTGATGAGCAGGAATTCCTGGACTGTTTTAGACATTAGTGTCTCTTTCACTTCAGACATTATAAATATAATCTCCTACTGTGGGGGTGCTATTGAACTTTCTAATATGCTTTGTTGAAGAGAATCCTTAATTTTGACATAATTAAAAATCTTCAACTTTTTTTACCTCATACTTTGTGTTTTGGAATTTTGTTTAAGAGGACTTTCCTGGTCTCCAGATCACAAAGGTACTATTCTGTGTTTTCTTCTATGAACTATATAGTTTTACCTTTCACATTTAGGTCTTTAATCCATTCAAAATCCACCTGTGTATGTGGTTCTCTAAAGGAATCCAGTTTAACTTTCTTCTATATGATGAGGAAGTTTTCTCGGTGTCATCTAATAAATAATCTATTCTTTTCGTATTAGTTTGGGGTGCCACTTTTACTGTGTATGAAGTTTTTATATATGCATATATATTACATGTATTTTGTTTCTGAGCACTCTGTGCAGTTCTATTTTTATATCTGCCTATCATTACATTAAATGACAGTTTTTATTGTCGTATGTCTTAGTATATAATAAGTCCATCTTCTGTACTCTGTTTTTTCCTACTCTTTATTGAGGTTGATTGTATACATAGACCTTTATTCTGTAATATGAATTTTAATGTGTGTTTATTGAGTTCATGAAATTCAACAATACTGTTATTAGGGTTGCATTGAATTTATAGATTAAATTGAAAGGATTAGCATTTTTATAATATTAAGTCATCTTAAAAGTGTAGAATAGGTTTATTTACATCATTTTATTGACTTTTAGACTTAGGAGGGACCTTATGAATTCATGGTAAATTCCTAGGTGCTTTATTATTTTTGTAGCTGTTGGGATCTTATTATTGTGTTTTTACTAGATTTTCTACGTGGCAATGTTGATGTAGAGAAATAGTACTGGCTTGCGTGTGTGTGCTTGCATGCTCAGTTGCTAAGTTGTGTCCAATGCTTTGTGACCCCGTGGTCTATAGCCATACAGGCTCCTATGTCCATTGGATTTGGCTTATGTTGGTTTATCTATATCCAGAATGAAGCCTTTCTTGATTCATATTTATTGATTCTATTCAGTTTTCTGGGTAAAAGATTACATCTTGTGCAAATTATGAAAGTTTTTCTTCCCTCCCAATTGCCAAGATGTTTCTAAATGTTGGTCTCGTTCATTTATTTTGCCTAGAACTCAGAAAAAAACTTTTGGAGTGGAATCTTAAAATTCTCTTTCATCTTAGAACAGTTTTCTTCGGTTGATTGTTTTTTTTTTAATATTGCCTTTATTCTGTTCTGTTATCTTTCTTAAGACAGCTTGTAAATTTGCAAGTTGAATCTCTGTTTTTTTGTCTGCCATAGTAAGTTGTTTTCCCACATCTGTTCTGTATATATCCAGATCCTTGCTTTTGATCTTCAGTGCTTATCCAGGGGATGTTTTATTGTCACAGATCTGACACTTTGTGTTCCTTCTTTATACCTAGCTGAGAGATTGACCAGATTTAGCCTTTGACTCTAAACCAGGATGACCCTACCTCTCAGTTTGATTGGAACTTTCCTGGTTGATGACTGTTGTCTGTTATAAATATTAGTAATGACCCTATCAGTCTCAAAAGAGTTCCCTGTGCTATACAATAGGTCATTACTAGTTCTCTGTTTTATATGTAGTAGTGTGTATATGTCAACCCGATTTCCCAGCTTATCCCTCCCTTCCCACCTCCTGGGAACCGTACATTTGTTTTCTACATCTATGACTCTGTTTCTGTTTTGCAGATAAGTTTATACCATGTTTTTTTAGATTCCACATAGTAAGCATTTTCAGGTTTCCCTGATGGCTGAGTGGTAAAGAACCCACCTGCAATGCAGGAGACACGGGTTCAATCCCTCAGTCAGGAATATCCCCTGGAGAAAGGAAATGGAACCGACTCCAGTATTCTTGCCTGGGAAATTCCATGGATAGAGGAGCCTGGCAGGCTACAGTCCATGGGGTGGCAAAGAGTTGGACACAACTTAGCGACTAAACAACAACAAGCAATGTCATAGATTTGCCTTTGTCTCAGTAACTTCACTCAGTGTGACAACCTCTGTGTTCATCCATGTTGTTGCAAATGGCATTATTTCATTCTTTTTTATGGTTAGGTAGCATTCCATTGAATCTTGTCTCTCAGAATTTTAGTTGTGCTCATCTGGTAGCTTCGTAATTAGAGGATGGTTGTGGTTTGATTATGAGATGGTAGCAAAATTGATGCAATCTCAAAGACAGTATGGGCTTCCCTTGTGGCTCAGCTGGTAAGGAATCTGGCTGCAATGCAGGAGACCTGGGTTCGTTCCCGGGGTTGGGAAGATGCCCTGGGGAAGGGAACGGCTACCCACTCCAGTATTCTGGCCTGGAGAATTCCATGGACTCTATAGTCCATGGGGTTTCAAAGAGTCGGACACAACTGAGTGACTTTCACTATTACACCACAAAGGCAGTATAGAGTAGAACAAAGGAATGAGTGAAGGAGAAAGTATGGGAAAGAGTGAAAGAGTAAAAGGGATGATGGAATGCCAAGAAAGGAGGAAAAGACCTCAAAATGTGAAATAAAGTACTCAGAATGTAGGCTAAAATGATATGTGATTGTTTCTAATTTTAGAGTGGAGTTCTAGATGGAATTATAGGGTAGTGAATGACCTTTTTTATTTTATAATAATAAATTTGGTTTTCCACTAGCAAACTGATACTGTGTAAATATTGTACAACATATAGGGTTCTTTTATCAATAGATCAGCAATGTTTCTTATAGTTCCTTATAAGAATTGGTCTGTTTGGGGTCAGAGTTGGATTTATATTTTCTTGAAAAATCATTCAGTTTCTCAAATTTAATTCAGCAGAGTTGAACAAAGTTGTCTCTTATGTTTCTTTTCATTTCCTTTGTTTTTTCATCATTCCCTCAGGTCACTCATTTTGTGTATTTGACTGGTACTCACTCTTTATTCTTTATCAACTTTAGTTAGTAATGCATTTTCAAGAACCAGCTCTTGTTAGTACCACCATTTTCCTGTTTCTAATTTATTGATTTTACTTTTTATTTTCATCAATTCCTCTTTTTTTGGAATGTAAAAGAAGCAGCAAGCAGGAGATTCTCTTCCTTCCAGTTCTGGAGTTGGACATTTCATGCATTTTATTCTTTCACAGTTATTAATAATGGACTATGGAATTTGTTCTGAGAACCACTTTTACTATATCTATAGGATTTCATGCATTATTGTATCTAGATATCCTATTTCCCAAAAAAATGTTATTAAAAAAACTTTTTTAAATCACTTCCAGGTGATAAATGTTTGAGTGTATTTTTTTTTCCATTTTCTGACTTTTTTGTTAATTGTTCAGTTCAGTCACTCAGTCATGTCCGACTCTGCGACCCCATGGACTACAGCACGCCAGGCCTCCCTGTCCATCACCAACTCCCGGAGTTTACCCAAACTCATGTCCATTGAGTCGATGATGCCGTCCAACCATCTCATCCTCTGTCATCCCCTTCTCCTCCTGCCCTCAATCTTTGCCAGCATCAGGGTCTTTTCAAATGAGTCAGCTCTTCACATCAGGTGGCCAAAGTATTGGAGTTTCAGCTTCAACATCAATCCTTCCAGTGAACACCCAGGACTGATTTCCTTTAGGATGGACTGGTTGGATCTCTTTGCAGTCCAAGGAACTCTCAAGAGTCTTCTCCAACACTGCAATTCAAAAGCATCAATCCTACAGCGCTCAGCTTTCTGTACAGTTCAGCTCTCACATCCATACATGACTACTGGAAAAACCATAGCCTTGACTAGATGAACCTTTGTTGGCAAAGTAATGTCTCTGCTTTTTAATATGCTGTCTAGGCTGGTCATGACTTTCCTTCCAAGGAGTAAGGGTCTTTTAATTTCATGGCTGCAATCACCATCTGCAGTGATTTTGGAGCCCAGAAAAGTAAAGTCAGCCAATGTTTCCTCTGTTTTC